GATACTTGCCCTAATCATGGCATAGACATAGCTCTCTGGTCTTGTAAACTCTGTGGGATACTTGCCCTAATCATGGCATAGACATAGCTCTCTGGTCCTGTGAACTCTGTGAGATACTTACTCTAATCACGGCATAGACATAGCTCTCTGGTCCTGTGAACTCTGTGAGATACTTACTCTAATCATGGCATAGACATAACTCTCTGGTCCCGTGAATTCTGTGGGATACTTGCCCTAATCAAGGCATAGACATAGCTCTCTGGTCCTGTGAACTCTGTGAGATACTTACTCTGATTATGGCATAGACATAGCTCTCTGGTCCTGTGAACTCTATGAGATACTTACTCTAATCATGGCATAGACATAGCTCTCTGATCCTGTGAACTCTGTGAGATACTTACTGTAATCATGGCATAGACATAGCTCTCTGGTCCTGTGAACTCTATGAGATACTTACTCTGATCATGGCATAGACATAGCTCTCTGGTCCCGTGAATTCTGTGGGATCTTTCACTTTCACCAGCACTATGAAGTACAGGTAGTGCCACATGTTGTGTTCATTCTTGATATGGTCCTCAAATGAAACCGATTTATTGTCAAATGAAGATCTATCCAGACCTGTAAAAGAGGGAGAAAACATTTTGTAATGCAAAACTCACAACACTCTCGACATTCACAAGATCACAAGTGTTTACGTTCACATGACTGAGAGTTGAGAATGGACTGTAGATAAAAACAACTTAATTTACTACTTATAAACTTACCACAAATAAAACATGTGTTTTTCAAAATCTCTTCTTTCTGTTGTTTCTCACTTCTCAGGTCAGCAAATGTGTCAATGATGACACCAAAGATGAGGTTCAGGGTGATAATGATGACAATGAAGAAGAAGAGCAAGTCATAGATAACTCTGGCCACAAATAAGGGCTCCTTGCTGCTGGGTTTCCGTAGCACGTCACCTATGCCACCACCATTTCTAAGGCCTTCATTCAGAGATGTTACAATGCACATGATAAGAGAGTCACAGGCACGTTCCTTCTCAGTCTCCACCTCTTCTGTCTTCTCCAGAGAGCTATCATCAGCACCAGGGGCTTCTGTGGGAATCTCTGCAGAAATACCACAAAGCTGTCGATAATTTCTAAAAAATTTGAAAGTCATAGAGGCAAGCACTATGTATGCCCCAACAATGATGTACATCAATTTATTTACCAACAAAAGCATTTAACTTTCAATTTTTTATGGTTTTTCTTTTGCTTATCCATCTGGATTAGATTAAGTTTCTTCTCCCTCTCATCTGTTACATTCCTCTGATCATTTAGTTAATACTTTGAAAACAAAAAACTGTCATCCTAAAAACCTATGGTGACAGACTTTTGTTCTATCAGTTCCTGTGTTGTGTCCACACTGGGTTACCTGTGTTGTGTTGTATGTGTAGAGATGTCCACACTGGGTTACCTGTGTTGTGTTGTATGTGTAGAGATATCCACACTGGGTTACGGTAAAGTCTTGAAAATTTCGTCGCTTAAAAATTAATTAATATTTTTAATTGTGTAAATCCGAATTTTTCAAAATTACCGCTCCCCGACTCCTGGGTATGACGAAATTTTAAAAAATCCGGCCTTTGGGCTTTTATCCTTAGCGACTGTTATCTTTGACCCTCCTATATTGTGGGATATTTATTACTACTTCCTAAGTCATTTTCTGGTGGTAAATAATAATCTATTTATTAGTGCATCTGGATTAAGTTATACTTAACTTACTGTACCCGAAAACATGTTGAGAATTATCTTCTCGGTAAGAAACATACCATCTGATAGAGGAGAAGGATCAAGATAAGCCTAATTGCAACCTTGCATCATAACCTGGACGCGACATATTAAAAAAATTACGCTCTTGGGAACGTATGTTGCATGCAGGGCTTTTCCCAGGATTGAGCGTCAGGCCTTCTAAAATTACCATCTGTAACTTCCTAAAAATTTACAGGGAGTTAAAATAATGATCTCCCGTAATTTAAGTTCCTTGAACTAATATGAAAACTGCATTTTATTATTGTTTACATCGCAAACAATCTCCCGGTGAAGATGTGAAAATTGCCTTTTCGTCTAGCAAGGATCGCGAACGATCTCCCTCTGATATGATCTTACGCGAACAAAGTCCTGAGAATATTACGCGAACGATTCTCCGCCGAAGATATACCGTGAGCGGGGCAGGGGGCGGATTAAAGATAAAATGAAAATGAATATT